GATACCTACTTTTTGTGTTATGGAAGAAATTTGTTATAATTAATTTTATTAATGTCCTGATTTTGAATTTTCTGAAGTTGGTCATCTTACTTTTGTATTTTTTAACTGTTATTTATTGTTTTTTTCTTTTGTTCTATCAAAAAATTATATTGTTTTTAAATGTTCTAAATATTAACTACATCAAATTTAGCAAAAATAGAGACGAACAAATCATTTTTTCGTGTAATTTTTCTCAAGTCCTGCAAGTTATACCAACATAATATTTAGAAAAAAAACTTTTTATGTTAATTATACTGTTTTAAAAACGATTAATTGATCAAATTTTTGTTGTCAATGTATTTTGATGCAAATAATTCATATGGAGCAGCAATGTCTAAACATTTTTATACAAAAATTTTGATTTGGTGATTTCTGTTAAAAAAAACCTTCACTTAATGTTTTTTGATGCAAATAATTCATATGGGGCAGCAATGTCTAGACATTTTTGTACCAAAATTTTGATTTGGTGATTTCTGTTAAAAAAAAGGTATTTTGATGCGAATAATTCATATGGAGCAGCAATGTCAAGACATTTGAATTTTGACTCACCACCCATGATGCTGGGCATATTGATAGGTATCATAAAGCGACTGCTTGAGGTCTGTCCACCACGGGGAGGTAAAAAAGTGATGTATCGCCTCGTGGACTGGGATTTCATCACCGTTGGCGTCGGTGATCTTCCCATTGAAGTAGAAATATGACGACCAAAGCGCCACATACAACATCGCGCATATTATCAAGAGAGAAATACGGCGAAGGAAAGTTTTCTTCTTGCGAGGAGTCCGTCTCCACTCTTTGGAGAAGGTGTCGAAGGTCAAAGCGGCGCAAAACACCATCACTGTGAGCCAAACATTCTCGTCGGGGAAGTACCAACGGGTCAAGTAGCTCGAATACGAGGCGAAAATCGTGAGCCAAGGCTTGCCCTTCTCACGCCCGATGTTGCCCACCACCCACACACCTGCGAGTGCGGTGATTGTTAACTCAATCGCCGATTAATAAACGAGTTTTACCTAGCGAGACGGCGAATGGGATCACCCAATGGAAGATTTTCCAGTTGAAGCCCCAGACTTCGTCCTCAGGAAGGGCCATTATCACCAATTGGCCCCAGAGGTAGCCCACCATTACGGCTGAAATGAATCTACTCGTTGAAAATGGGGGCTAGAATAAAACAGCGATTTTCAATTATGTAACACTTAATACTTTGCTTATTATAATCATAATAAAAGCCAACCTTTCTAATGTTTTGTAATAAGATTAGCAACAATTTGAGTGAATTTCCAAATTGGATTATTGTTAGGGTCATCACTACGGGTTATTGTTCATTAATTCAAGGATCGTTAAAGTTAAAGTATTTATGAACGTGAAATTACCAGACATAACGATGTGGTTACTTTTTTGAATTTCGAACAAATTAATTAAATAAAATACCCAGTGTTGTTAAAAATAAATTTGATGATTGTACGATTTCTTATTTTGAAAGTTTTATTGTTATTGGAGACAATTAATAAAACTTAGTTTCATTTTATGACTTATTTATGGTTTTATAAACAAATTTCGTTGCAGCAAGATTTAATTGCAATTTCGTAAAACTTTTGATGATTTTTTTCTAATCCTTGAAACGTCGTTTTCTTATTTTCTAAAAAAATAAAACATATAGTAAGGCTTTATTAAAAAAAGAACACAAATTTAAAAAAGTTATTATTTATA